CACCAGCCACTCCTCGGAAGGAAGATGAGGCAATCTACTTTCGTAGTGATACTGCCTCGGAAACCCAAGGAGGGGTCGCTATGAGTCGGGTCCTACTTGATGGCACATAACAACAACACACACACAAAAAAAAACAGGCACGGTTTAAATGTCAGCAAGAGCAGTTGAAGTGACTGATCATGGGATCCAGGTTGATACAAGGGTGAAGAGACTGGAGTACTGAGATGAAAGGGAAAAGGAAGGTTGGCAGAGGCCAGAGTGTGAGATACTGGTTCCTAAAGAGATCCAGGTGGCTGTGTCTGCTATTGGAATCCCAGATTTCCCTAAACAGTGGCTTTTAGCTTAACAAAAATGACTTCTGGAGAGTTGCAAAGGCAAATGTGTGCTTTCCTCACTCTTTCTCTCTCTCTCTCTCTGTGTAATTTTTTTTTTAACCTATCTGGCTATTTTCTTTCCCCTCTCTGTCCATCCCTAAATGTGTGCTTCTTAAGGTAAAAGCACAATGAAAATTACTCTCCATCGTTCTTCCGTGTCTTACTGTACTAGGTTTATGCTTTAATCAAAATAGAAACAAGTAGTAATGAGATTCTAATAATACAGTAGACTGAGAACTGGGCACATGCCCATTTCACATCTACAAAGGAAAAACGCCATCTGAGTTGGTACTACTTGGCAGATGCAAAAGACAAAACAATAGGGATAATGAACTTGTTTGTGAATTGTGAACAGATGTTGCTAATAGTTTTCATGTAATCTTGAGATTCCAAGGGCATTGTTGGATAAGGAAGGAGGGTTCCAATGAGGGCTAGGCTTGTAGGTTTCTTGACTTAACCTAACATATGGGCTGTTAATGCCAGCTAGTCTCCCTATTGAAAAGGTAAAAGCTCATTAACAGGATGAAGGGTTCCACGTGATCTTAATTCCAAATAGAAAACAGACAATTCAAGAAGGAAGGGAGGAAAAAAAGTGGTATTGGAGTTAGGCAAGTGGAAGATTTGTTACGTTGCTAGTATAGAACAGACATGAGCAGGTTTTTCCTTTGAGGGCGAAAATACAACTTCTGAAGTATTAACATGAACCAGTTTGTAGTTAGAAACCATGCTGTGGGAAAATGAATAAACATCTTGAAAGTTATAATAACCAAGAGAGAGAGGAAAAACGGGTATCTTTAAATGTATGTTCCTCTGAATCATTTGAAAGTTTCCATAGATTCTCACCCTGAGAGACCATCAACCCAAATCATTAATAAAAAATTGTGTGTGTTAATTGATTTCCTAGAGTAGATTACTCAAGAGTCTTAATCTAATTAGCCATTCTCACAGCTTTGGATAAGTAAATCACTGTGCTATCTTTTTCTCCCAGTTAGCTGATGTCTAAAAACACCCAAGACTGGTAAATGACCAAAGAGAAGCTGGTTCTAAGGCACTAAGTAAATTAAATATTGACTGTATACACAATATTGATGAAGAAACGAGGCAGCTATTCTTAAAATCAATAATGTTTAGTGGTTACCAGTGGGGAGTGGGGAGGAAGGGGAAGCTTTTTTTTTTTTTTTTTTTTGTAGGGCATTGAGTTTTGGAAAAGGACAGCAGTAATGGTGGTACGACATGAAAAATGTCATCACTGTCCCTGAGCTGTAAATATGAAAGTTACGTTGATGACTGTGTTGGTGTATATGTTTTCACCTCAATACAAGTAAAAAACAAACAAGCCAATAATGTTAACTGCTTGGCTAGAAAGAATGTAGCTAAGAGCAAATGTTGATAAAAGCTTGTAGGAAGCTTGTTGTGGTTCTAACTGCTGTTGAGTCGATTCTCACCCAGTGATGCTGTGTACAACAGAACAAAATGCTGCCCCATCCTGCGAAATCCTTATAATCTTTGCTGTGCTTGAGTCCCTTGTTGCAGACACTGTGTCAATCTGTGAGGTTGAGGGTCTTTCCCTTTTTTGCTGACCCTCTACTTGACCAAATGTGGCGGTTAAGTTTGTGTGTCAATTTGGTTGGGCCTGGTTCAGTGGCTGGGCAGCTGAATGTAGTTATTTTCTGTGGTGAGACTGGTAATTAACTCCATGGTGGAATCTATTGGAGCAGCTGAGTAGCTGCTTTAGTCTGCTTCCCATATATAAGAAACAGCTTTGGGAATGGTCTCTAGCTTATGGCACACTTGAACCTGCATGTAGCTGTGTTGTTGTTCAGCAGCCTACCATGCTCTGCCGACCTGGGACTTCCAATGGACTTGAATTAATGGACTTCCATGTGGTTTGGTAACATTGGGACTGTGCCTTTTTACTTGTCAACCTTGGGCTTGTCAGTCTCAGCAGCCAGCATCTGTCTGAGTGAAGAAAAGCCTCCAGTTTCAGTGGACCGGGAGCAGGAGGCCGAGCTGAAGCCCAAGTTTGAGGCGCTTTCACCCAGCCCCTAGAGCCTGGCACTTGGAACTTGGACTTAAAGCCTCCATACTGTAAGAGAATAAACTCCTGTTTGTTTAAGCCATCTGTGATAGTTGGAGCTATGTGTCAACTTGGCTGGACCACAATTCTATGTAGTTTAAGCAATTGTGATGTGGGTTGTTCCAATGATGGGATCAGATGAATATGTTTTGAGCAGCCAATCCATTGAAAGGGAGTTTCCCTAGGGGTGTGGCCTGCTTCCAGTATATTTATGGACATCCTGGGAAAAGAGACACTCTTCTGTGAATCAGAATTCTTCCTACAACTGTCCGTGAGGGAACAGTCCACCATTCGGCCTGGAGATCTTGGATTCGTCATTTGTTGGAGTCAACGGCCGGTATACTGCCTGCCAACCTTGAGCTCCTCAGCCCCTGCAGCTGCGGGAGACTGGAAAAGTCTGCAGCTTGA